CTTTCCAGGTCATGGATAATGCTCTATCACTTCAGCCAGACCTCCAGTTCCAGCTTTTTTCAGGTTAATTGTAGGTTTATGTGCCTGGGCTGGCTTTAAACTTGATCTGAGGATCTCAGTCTCCTGAGTAGCCAGCCTTTATGCTGTTACAACCTTGACTATAGGTGCTTCCTTGATCTTACCATGTATTTGAGAACTCCTGAAGAGGACCCAGGGTTTTGGCTCAGTGGTAGAGCATTTGCCTGATATGTACATCCAATGCCCACCACCTCAATATGCTAGAAAAAGATCACATTTCTGCTGTAAAATATGACTGAGGTATCAAGGTAATCCTTTTGTGATGGAGAAAAAAAAAATCACAGTCTAGGGGCTTGAAGTGTTACTCAGTAACAAAACATATGATTGCCATGTGTGAATACTGGGGTTCAATCCTCAGCCTCCATAAACAAGTGAACAACAAAACAACACATATCCTACAGAATATTAGTATTTTCAAATATGATTTACTTAAATCTAAGTGTTATAATTATCTAAATTTTTTTTTTTTTTTTACTAGGATGAGAAGTTTGACTTACTTGATCTTTCCTTCCACTAATCGTTAAGTTACTTATGGCCCAAGCAGCTTCTTTCTGAGTGCCAAAATCCCCCTAAAAAAAAAAAAAAAGGCAGAAAGAAAAGGCTATTAAATGTAAGGTAGTAAGGTAGGAACACTCAAAAAGATGTTATATGAAATAACTGCTTATCCCAACTTTCATTTTAGCTAATGTGTGTGTGTGTGTGTGTATTTACTTAAACTATAATCAATCTGCTTTCAACAAGCAGAAGCTTTTTTGGTGAACTCTCCTAAAAATAACTGACATATTACTGTTCAATAATATCAGATTAAAAAAAGTCTATAAAATGAAGTAAGACTGCTGGGCACCAGTGGCTCACACCTGTAATCCTAGGTACTCAGGAAGTTAAGATCTGAATATTATGGTTTAAAGCTATCTTTAGCGGGAAAGTCCATGAAACTCTTTGGAAAAATCTGTAATTTATAAGCAATATAAATACAAATTTAAAATATTTTTAAAAGCCTATGACTTGGTACCAGGAAAATGATTTAAAATTATCAACTGTATACCTTCTTGTGTATGGTCACAGTAGCAAAAAAGTTAAACTAAAATTCTCAACAGAAAGGATGTGGCTTACAGACCATCTACAGGGAATAAGACGTAATTATTAAAAGTATGATTAGCAACATACACACTCAAAGAATAGCATTGAGCTACCTTTTCCTATCTATCAAGCTTAGAAAATGTAAATATTTACCAATTAGTACAAAAGGGTCTATAAATTTTTTTTCTTTGTGAAAATACCGTACAGAGGGGTTACAATTACATAGGCAAGATAACGAGTACATTTCTTATCAAGCATTGTTGCCTCCTCCTTTGAAGGGTCTATAAATCTTGAGAGTAACCACAATATACAGTAAAATTCATATGATTTGTGTATTTATAACCTGGATTCAAAGAGGAAAAAATATGTAAGCTATTCTTGGAAGTATCACTAAAGTATATCTATATGTATATGTATATTTATATATTTTTTTAATTTATTTTTTGTCAGTCACGGAGCTGAACTCTGGGCCTGGGTGCTGTCCCTCAGCTCTTCAGCTGAAGGCTAGTGCCTTACCACTTGAGCCACAGTACCACTTCTGGCTTTCTTATGCTTATGTGGTGCTGAGGAATCAAACCCAGGGCCTCATGCCTACCAGACAAACTAACACTGAGCCAACTTCCCAGCCCCCACAATTTATATTTAACAGTAATAACAAATAAGGAAGGTATCTATATAGTGATCTGAGGGTTGTCTTAGGATATACTTCTTTCAAAAGGTAGAGTAGGAGATGGATATGGCGTATTATTTCTGAGTAGGATGAAAGGATATACGTAAGCAAATACCCATTTGCATATTTTGTATAAAGCAACTAAGGATAGCCAAAACTAAAAAAATGGGCCAGGTGAATTGGCTCAAGCCTCAGCACATGATCATAGCTGCTCAGGAGGTGGAGATCAGAAAGACAGGTTTGAGGCCATCATGGAAAGTTTCCAAGACTCCCATTTCAACCAATAAAAGCTGGGTACAAGCACTGCTTGTGCCTGTCATCCTAGCGATTCAGGAAGCATAACAGGATTGAGGGTCAATTCAGCTGGCCAGGGTATAAATGTGAGACCCTATTAGTAACAAAAAAAGGAAAAAGTTTTGAGGTGGTAAAAAAGGCACACGTTCAAACCCAGTACAGTAAACAACAAAAACTCGAACTGGAAGAATGAGAAGAAAAAACTGAGTGAGGGCAAGAGTAGCCTTGAGTTCAAACCCTAGTACTCGAACAAAAACAAAAAGGAAACATTCATTCTCTTACCTTATCCAAAAGGTGTATTATCATTGGTACAAGATTGGCATCAATTACTGCCTGCACCTGCTGTTGATTTCCAGCGGTGATGTTAGAGAGAAACCATACTGCTTCCTGTGGAACAAGACCCCATTAGTACTTCATAAAAAATAAAATTTGAGCTGGGCGCTGGTGGTTCACGCCTGTAATCCTAGCTGCTCAGGAGGCTGAGATCTGAGGATCGCCGTTCAAAGCCAGCCCGGGCAGGAAATTCCCTGAGACTCTTTATCTCCAATAAACCATTCGAAACCCGGAAGTGGCTCTTTGGCTCAAGCGGTAGAACGCTTGCCTTGCACTGAAGAGGGCAGGGACAGCGCCCAGGCCCAGAGTTCAAGCCCCATGACTGACACACCTGTAATCTTAGCCACATGAGATAGCTTGGGTAGGAGAGTCTGTAAGACTCTTATCGCCAATTATTCACCAAAAAGCCCAAGTGGAGCTGTGGCTCAAGTGGTAGAGCAGTAAGCCTTGAGCACCCAGGTCCCAAGTTCAAGCCCCAGAACCAGCACCAAAAAAAAACAAATAAACAAAACTGAATTAAGAAAAAGCAGCAGTCACTGATGAATGAATTACAAAATAAAAATCTTGGAAATCGCTGGGCGCTGGTGGCTCACGCCTGTAATCCTAGCTACTCAGGAGGCTGAGATCTGAGGATCGCGGTTCCAAGCCAGCCCAGGCAGGAAAGTCCGCAAGACTCTTATCTCCAATAAAAACCACTAGTAAACCGAAAGTGGCGCTGTGGCTCAAGTGGTAGAGCGCTGGCCTTGAGCTGAAGAGCTGAGGGACAGCGCCCAGGCCCAGAGTTCAAGCCCCAGGACCAGCCAATAAAATAAAAAATAAAAATCTTGGAAATCTCAATTCTTCTATCTCTGTCCATATTTTCTTTGGACAAATCACCAATGCCCTCTAATACAAGTCATACAGAACTAGCCTTTCAAAAGAATTCTTTAAAGGTAATACTGTCAAACAGTATGACCCCCCCCCCAAAAAAAACAAACAAGTATGGCTGGACAGCAAGGAACTGAAACACAGAGCCCCTAACACTTGTGAGGCTCAATAACCTTTCCTCACATATTGTGCTTTTTAGTCTAACCTAAACAAGCCCAGCCAAAGCAGATAAATCTCAATTATTCATAATAGAAACATCAGAAATCAAACAGCAGGTTGTCATACCCTTATGCATTACAGTCATTCATTGCATCATTTCCTTCTAGAGCAGAAGTGAAACCAGATGCTCCACCGTGTTCTTAGTCTATCTTAATGACCTGTGAATGCTGGCCTTTGCCCTACAATGATGCTATACTTTTGGCCAACGTGGGTTTTTTTTTTGGCTGGTCCTGGGACTTGAACTCAGGTCCTGGGCACTGTCCCTGAGCTTCTTTTAGCACACTACCACTTCAGCCATAGTGCCACTTCTGGCTTTTTCTGTTTATGTGGTACTGAAGAATCGAATCCAGGTTTTGTGCATGCTAGGCAAGCACTCTACTACCACCAAGCCACTTTCCCAGCCCATGTGGGTTCTTAAGTGTGCTGAGAAGTTCAAAGATAATAAATACATTACTAAAAACCATCATTAGCAAGAAACAAAAGTATCTAATATTCTACTAAGGAAGGTATTGTTAGAATGTACCAACTTAAACTGACTAAATTTAGCTACATCATCTCTTTTTCTGACAGCTACTAAAATATGTTTTACATTAAAAATACTGTCAATTAGGCTCTTTTGGATCAGATCACAGGATCATGTTCTATGAACCTGTTGGAGATTTGAGGGTGCTGGGCTAGGCAGGTGAGCTATTGTTGGGTTATAATCATCAGCAATGCTGTAATCAAAACCTGGTTTGTCTACAACAGCCTCAGATGCACTCCAATATCAGCATCACCGCTCAGTGCCCCCTTCCATAGCCGCCACACACACAGGAACACACACACACAAACACACACTATTAACGATCTACAAAATACTAAGCTAGAATTACTCAACATACATATAAAATTTTTCCAGTCATGCACCATTCAACACCCAAGTATCTCCATTTCATCATTTCCAATAGAGCCAAAGAGTGGCCAGCCCAGGGGCAGAGTACCGTATCCACAAAAACTCATTTTTTTAAAGTTTTCTTCATATATGCCAAGATCTGCTCTGTATGCTATAGTGAATTATGTTCTTTTGGTATCTAAGTGATACTTTTAACAAATGAAAACTATCCTTCTATGTGCTCTGAAACTGTTCCACAACACTTACTTTGTTAATTTTCTCTTTAGGATGAGTCAGGAGTGCTGGGAAGTGTGAGAGAGCATCACAGTTCAAAACTATCTGTGTTTGCTCATCAGTTCCAGTAACGATGTTGCCCACGGCTCGAAGTGCAGCGGTCTGCAATGCAAAGAAGTCAGTGAAAGGCTGTTCCACTGCTATGGGACAGCTTATGAATGACAGGTGCACCCATCCCAACTAGCCTATCCTCTCTGGGTACTTGCTTTATGTCAGAAAATGATACAAATTCCAGATTTTATGAAACTTTAATTTTTTTGTCAGTCATGGGGCTTGAACTCTGGGCTTGGGCGCTGTCCCTGTGCTCTTCAGCTCAAGGTGAGTGCTCTACTGCTTGAGCCACAATGCCACTTCCGGTTTTCCAGTTATTTACTGGAGATAAGAGTCTCATGGACTTTCCTGCCCAGGCTGGCTTTGAACCGTGATCCTCAGCTCTCAGCCTCCTGAGTAGCTAGGATTACAGGCATGAGCCACCAGCATCTGGCTGAAACTTTGCTAATTTCAGGAAATAACTGGTGCCAGAAGATACTTTAATCCTTCTCTATTAAATAATTTCCCCTCTAATTTCTTTCCTTTGAAAAATACAAATGACCCCAGTACTTAAAAGACTTGATATAGCAATACATATACAGATACAGGTTATCATGACTGCAATCCTAGCTACTCAGGAGGCTGAGATCTGAGGATCTAGGTCTGAAGCCAGCCACGGGAGAAAAATTTGAGTCTTACCTCTAATTAACCAGCAAAAGTACAGACGTAGAGGTGGCTCAAGTGGTAAAGGGCCAACTTTGAGTAGCTCTGAGTTCAAATCCCAGTATTAATACCAAAAGAGCCTAAGCTATAATCTACAAAATAATTCTTCCTTTCAAAGTATACAATTCCCTACTTCTTAGCATAATCAAAGTTGCATACTTTTACCAGTGTTTTAATTCTGGAACATTTATGTTATTCCCAAAGAACAGTTTTGTCCATTAGCAGTCAGCCCTGCTGTCCTTCAATCCCAGTTCTCCATGCCTACTTCTGGACTTGTATATTCTGGGCATTTTGTATACAGAGTAACAGGTCTACGTTACTGCGTTTATTAGTACCTATTCCTTTTTGTGGACAACTAATTTCCCACTGTATAGCTGTATCACGTTTTTTTTGATTGTTCAAATGTTTTTTTTATGTCTGGGAAGGTGGCTCAGTGGTAGAGCGCTTGCCTTGCATGCATGAGGCCCTGGGTTCGATTCCTCAGCACCACATAAGCAGAAAAAAAAAAAACAGAAGTGGCACTGTGGCTCAAGTGGTAGAGTGCTAGCCTTAAGCTGAAGAGCTGAAGAACAGCACCCAGGCCCAGAGTTCAGGCCCCATGACCAGACCCAAAAAACAAACAAACAAACAAACAAACATTTTTTTCTATTCTGATCAGTCTTGCAATGAGTATTTTTATGCAAAGTTTTGTGTGGATACATGAATATGTGTAGACTGAGGGAGTGGAGCTACTGACCACACTGTATCTATGTTTAACTTTCATGCAGCTATACCATCACTTCAATCAGCAATGTTAAAGGTATTAACTTCTATTCACCTTTGTCAATATTTGCCTCTGCCTTCATAATTATATTCGTTCTGGATGTAAAGAGCTTTGAGTTACATTTCCTAATGTGAAATAATGACTAGTGATGGTAGAGCGCATTTCTATGCACTTACCAATCATTGTCTGTCCTGCATACCCATCTATTCTCTTTCCTATGTTTTATTAGCATGCAGTAGCTACACAAGGGGATTTCACTGTGACACTTCTATGCATGTACACAATGTATTCTATCACCAACCCATCATTTCCCTCATCCTCACCCCATTTCCTAATACAATTCAAGGTTTCATCTTGCCCACTGTAAAATAACCTTTTTTTTTTTTGGGGGGGGGGTCCGGTCGTGGGGCCTGAACTCTGGGCCTGGGCGCTGTCCCTCAGCTCTTCAGCTCAAGGCTAGTGCTCTATCACTTGAGCCACAGCGCCACTTCTGGCTTTTTTTTCTTTTTGCTTATGTGGTGCTGGGGAATTGAACCCAGGGCCTCAGGCATGCAAGGCAAGCGCTCTACCACTGAGCCACCTTCCCAACCCAACCTGTCTATTTTTAAGTTGTAAGAGTTTTTTGGTTTTTTTTGGGTCAGTCATGGGGCTTGAACTCTGGGCCTGAGCACTGTCCCTCAGCTCTTCAGCTCAAGGCTAGCATCTACCACTTGAGCTACAGCGCCACTTCTGGTTTTCTGGTGATTTATTGGAGATAAGAGTTTCATGGACTTTCCTGCCCGGGCTGGCTATGAACCGTGATCCTCACTCAGATCTCAGCCTTCTGAGTAGCTAGGATTACAGGCATGAGCCACCGGTGCCTGGCTATTGTAAGAGTTCTTTACACATTTTGTAAACAAAAACCTCCTTTAAAAATATGGTTTGTAGATATTCTCTTATTCTATAGGGTTGTATTTTTGCTTTTTGATGGTATCCTCCTAAACATTAAATTTTCTTCTTTGTTTTTGAGAATCAGTCTCACTACTTACACAGCTCAGGCTGATCTCAAACTCAGCCTCCTGAGAGCTGGAATTATAAACGTGTATCACCATGCTTCGTCCAAGTTTTTTAATTTGGTGAAGTCTGTCAATTTTTTTCCTTTATGTGTGGTGTGTCATATTTTAGATAGCACTTATGGATCCAAGGTCTTAACACTTCAAAACTGCACTAATAATTCTACAATTATGTCATTTTAAAAAAGGCCTTGACAGCCGGGGCTGGTGGTTCACATCTGTAATCCTAGCTACTCAGGAGGCGGTTCAAAGCCAGCCCAGGCACAAAAGTCTGTGAGACTCCTATAAACCACCAGAAAATAGGAAGTGGCACTGCGGCTCAAGAGGTAGAGCACTAGCCTTGAAATGAAAAGCTCAGGGGCAGTGCCCAGGTCCAGAGTTCAAGCCCCACGATTGACCAAAAAAAAAAGGCTTTGACTTTCAGAGATGTAAGATGGATGAAATGACATGATACCTGGGATTGTACTTATACCTTAATAACTTTGGGGGTGGGGAGGACAGGGACACAGAGGAAAAAACTTATGGGGATTAACCATGCTGGTTTTCTTTAATTATGACATGAAAGTTGAAAGAGTAAGAAAATCTCTATTAGTTATCTAATTAAATATAAAACATTAACTTTGCATGCTGGGTACAGAAAAATTTCCAAATCTAGATTCTCAAACCCTAATGCCAAGTGTAGCATTAAAACTAAAAGATAAAAGCAAACTTAGGCTGGGAAGATGGCTTAGTGGTGGAATGCTTGCCTTGCATGCATGAGCCCTAAGTTTGATTCCTCAGCACCACATAAAGCAGAAAAAGCTGGAAGTCGTGCTGTGGTTCAAGTGGTAGAGTGCTTAGCCTTGAGCTGAAGGACACTGCCCAGGCCCAGAGTTCAGTCCCCACGACAGACCAGAAAAAAACTCCAAAAAAAAACAAAAACTTAGCCTATGCCAAGACTCAAGAGATGCAAGTTAAAAAACTTTTGCACTGAAAGGACATAATGATTAAGCTAAAAAGACATCCTACAGTATAGATCATCTTTGAGCTATACATCTGATAAGGTTCTAATGACCAAAATGTACAAAAAAAGCTAAAAAAAGTAACCCCCAAAGAAGCAATAACCCAAATATTAAATGAACACAGGAGGTAGCCAGACACTTCTCAAAAAAAAAAAGAGGTACAGGTAGGCCAGTAAATATACCAAGAAACATGCATTACCTCTGGCTATGAAAGAAATGTTCCATCTCATTCCACTAATAATGGCTACCATCAAAAACCCAAACAATAAATGTGGGGAAGGCTGTGGATGGGGCAGATGTGTATGGAGGAAGGATGTGAGGCATATATGTGAGGCATATATTAGGAACCCTAATACACTGATAGGGGGAATATAAGTTAGTGTAGCCACTATGCAAGTCACTAAAGAGAATCCTTGGTGCGGGGGGTGGGAACCCACAAAAAACATAACTATTCTAAGATCCAATGATTTTAAAATGACCAACCTAGGTCATTTATCAAGACCGCAAGTCAGGACTCAATAAATTCATCTTCACACCTGTATTCAATATAGCACTATCCACAATAACAAAGTTATGGAAATAGCCTAGATGGCCTAACTGATGAAAATATGATAAAAACACATAAAGGATCCCTCTTCCCTCCCTTTCTTTCTACACACACACACACACACACACACACACACACGAATGATCCAAGTATGGTATGTGCCAAGGAGTGGGTTTCCATGACGCAAAACCCTCTGAACAATAGACAGTTTAACAAAATGAATACTAGGAAGCTGAAACATGGCTTGCCTGAGATGGGTGGGAGCCATGGGGAATGGCAGATGAATAGAAAGAGGAATGAACACAGTCACAATATTCAATGTATATAGGAGTAAATGCAACTATGAAACTTGTGGGGATAGGATAAAGGCTAGAGGTGAGATAATAATGGAAAGGTGACCCTGATCCAGATACAATGTACACCTATGTGGGCATGATAAACTGGAATTCCTTTGTATGACAATCTAGATTAAAGAAATTCACCTTTATCAAAAATGCAAAGCTGGGCGCTCTGATGGTTTATGCTTCTAATCCTAACTACTCAGGAGGCTGAGATCTGCAGACTGTAGTTTGAAGCCAGCCCCACCAGGAAAATCCATGAGACTCTTATCTCCAATTAACCTCCAAAAAAATATCTAGACGTGGGGCTGTGACTCAAGTGCTAGAGGACTAGCTTTGAGCACAAAAGCTGCACATTCCAGTATGAAGCCTTTACCTTGGTACTGGTAAAACAAAGTGTGAAGTAAACTTCTACACTTGTCAGGTGAATAAAAAAGACAATGATGGGGGAGGAGTGGGAAAAGAAAAACAAGATGCTGAAAAAGAACTGTTTCAGATGCCTCCAAAGTTGCTATACGCAACTATGTAGGCTACCTGAGGAATCAGTCATGGATTTAGAGGCAACCTTGGACGGCTGGCTACCTTGCCTGCCTTCTTTTGGAAGGAAGGGGGCGAGGGGGCAGGAATAGAGAGAGGGAGGATTTAATGAACTCTCTTTAAAATGAGATGAAACAATTCAGTTTTCATCATAGACATGCTATACTACAAATAAAATTTAAACAATTGAAACTGCCCAGCTTTAAATGCTATGCAGGCAAAACAAATCTTGTTCAGAAAAATAACTGAGACACTTACCTGAACTTTAACTTCCTGGTGGCTGAGTAGAGGAACCAAATGAGGAACTATTCCCGAGTCTATTACCATCTGT